TTATCGACGGGTCATGCCGCCAAGGCTCAAAAAAGCGATCGGCAACGATCGATCTAGCAATTGTCGTTCGTTATATAGGAGACATGTAAGTCTAATCGTACGAATCACGATGGTGCGCGTCTCGCATCACGCGCACCGCGAGACTGACTTTAACGCTCGCTTGCAGGAATTTCGAAAACAGTGCAATTACGACTTAAAAGTCTGCGGATCTAGTCAGAATGAGGGAATTGGGTGAAGGGCGCGCGGAATTTCTAGTGATCTCTAGTCAGGACACGTCGTTTTTGAGTCCATTCGTGAAAAATGTCGATCGTATCGGACATTATAGGCACGTCCGCGCGTGAGAGCAAATCTTTAAAAATAATTGCTATATATAAAAAATAAATATATATATATATATACACACATATAGTTTAGGTATCCTTACGAAAGTGCAAAGGAACAGCTAATATATTGTGCGGCGGTCGGTGTGAAAAAGAGTGCGTCTTGCGTGATGACGGCCGGTGTTTTATCGAGACGGAACGTGAAGATACGACGTGAAGATACGCGACATATATTGTATAATACGGTCCATTACGCATGTCCCCCTTTTGTTTTTCTCACCGTGCTCACGGCTAAGAAAAATGGCGTTCGCAATTGCGTTACTATCCTGCTATATACCCTCCTCGCACGCGGCATGTCCGATCGACGATGTCGATATTACGATGGCGTTTCACTTGCGTTCTCGGATTTGGATTTGCTTTCGACCGCCGTAGATCACTCTGAGGACGATCCGACTGCATCCCGTACTCGAGGCTAAAAAGTGTAGAATTTTTTAACTGTACTTACGACTATATAACATCTAACCTGTATATTTTTACATATTGAATATAGGAAAGCGAAAATTGAGAGTTGACGCGGAGAAGGCGCGGGTAAGAGTCGAGTATATATATAAAAAAAAAAAGAAAAAGTACGCGAATAGCATAAAGACACACGTACACACACATACACAGACTTAATATAAACTTGATAAAAATACGTATAACTCGTACACACGTACACATATATACATATACGCATCACTTGGGCGCGACACGATAAGTATCGTCGAGCCTTGAGGGAGAAAGATATTATACAGGTCGTAAGAGATGAGATCAGTTTTATTGTTGATTTCGGCGTGGCATACAATAAAATTTTGTAATCGGCGGCCCCGAGTCACGCGCTTTCGCGCTCGGGGCCCGAGAACGTTGCGTAGTATAATCAAACCCCGACGTAACAATGCGAGTTTTTTCCTCGATCGGACTCGGGGCGAATTTCGGGGCGGTCGGGATCGCCGAGGGTGTAAAACGAGCGTGATCGGGCATGAGAAATCAGCCGGATAATCGAAACCGAGAGATCCGCGTCTCTCGGCGATCCTGAGAATACGCCACGATATTCGCCGCAGTAAGTCGGAAGAAGATATCTGTACATAGGAAAACTACAACATAGCACAGGGTGTACGTACATGCCGGTGCACACGTAATGTCTTATATAGCGGAAGTACTAACTATGATAGTGTATGAAAATAATAAGACGTTCGCGGAGCAGGCCAGGCGCTTGGTGATGGAGGTGCATCGCCCCTTTTCCCCTTCATGACGAATCTCGCCCTCGCAGGTACGACCCTCGAAATAAAAGAGAGAGAGAGAGAGAGAGAGAGGGAGGGAGGGAGAAAGAAAGAGAGACCGTGCCCTACGGCATAGTAAATGAAATAATTTACGATCGCTACGCTCGCATCTTCAAATCAGTTGACAAATCGGAATCGAAATGCCTAATACGGCGTGAAGAAAAAAAGAAAAGAAAGAAGGTGGGAAACAAGTAGCGAGAAGACATTTGGGAACGCTTCCAAATTGGATTCAAGTTGTTTTCTATTCCTATTGCTTAAAAATAACTCTCGCCGATGATAATGCAGGGGATGTGCATTAATAGTTTAATTGATCTAGTCGAAATATATTATCATTCTATTATTCGGTTGTTTTGGCAATGTTTACGACAAGACATAAGTTTTATACGTGCAACTATAGATTAGTTTTTTTATTTTAATACAGTAATATATTCTGCTCCAAAAAGATGTGTTAGAAGAGAGAGTTTTTTAGTTAGCAATGCTATGAAATAAACGCATTACAGTAACTATTTATTACAAGCGAAACAGTATTAACATTTAACGATAATGCGATACAAGCGAGTGAGCAAAATTTACGAGTTGAATCGATTGAATAGACGAGATGGTTGATTTATTGCTATTACTATTAAGATTATTATTGTTTGAGTATTATAATATTATTATTATCAATGCTACGCTGTCGCTAATATCGCAAATATTATTGCAAATATTAATATCCGGCCAAGGGCGATTATTATAATTATTTTGTAACGAACTATAAAATCGGACGACTGGATCGGACGTAAAATATTTCAATTCATTCGTAAAGTTTAATAAATTCGTTTCGGTTGCGAGCGTATGCCGAGAGGACAAACGACCGATGCCACGTAGATCAAAAGTAATCGAATAGAACGGTAGTTGCGCAAGATGCGACAGAGCGTTATTAGCATATCAGCGTGTTGAGCTTAGAGAGGCGCGCGGAACAATGAGACCGCGCGCGGTAATAATATTACCAGTAGTATGTGTGCGTTCAGAGAGGAAACGAGAGAAAGAAAAGTACGTACAATAGCTTGCGGGTATTTCGGAGAAGTGAGAGACGTTGCAGCGAAAGTGCGTTCCTCGGTGTTAAAAACGCGATGTCATCGACACTACTATAGATTGCTGGTTACTATCATCAGAAACATTGCGTTTATGTCGGATTATATCACGATAATAGGAACGAATGTATCGCTATCGTTTCTACCGTCTCTTGAGATCACACTAATGCAACATATTAATGTTTGATTAGCAGTACTGTCGTCTCCATGCACTTTTCACAAAGTTCAACTATCCTTAGGATTCGAAGTCCTAAGCTGCATCGACTTGTAATATTACGCTACGAAAACGAGCCTAGATAGCAATCAAATGCTAAAGTACGATATCGCACGCAACGGTACGTGCAGATGAATTGACAGACGTTCCAGCATAGGTTCGTATATTGCTGCGTGACGATATTGCAGTGTCGGTGGCATCGAATGCCGTGTATGCGAGGATGAAGTTGTAATTTTGTAGCGCGAAGAGCGAAAGGGAAACGCTTGTGTTCGACCGAAATCTCTCCGAAGATTCGCTGACGCTTTCAACGGCAGAATTTTTCGTCAAAACGCACGAGAATCGCAATGTGATGTGTGTATATTAGTACATTTATGAATCATACGTTAGGAGAGGCGTATACACATATATATTGCAGATTACGACGGATCACTCACCGCGCAGCGAATGCCGAGAAATTCTGCCGAGACGCCTGTAGAATAAAAAATAGTTATTTATAAAGTCACTCTATCGAGGGCGAGAAGTAAGATACGAGAGAAGAAGCGAGGGGCGCGATGCAGGAGTGGGAATAGCGTGCGAACGGAAGATACGCCATTTTGAATTATTATTTTCATAAGGAACGTGTAATATAAAATATAATATATATAATATATATATATATAAATATATATATCGATATGGACGAATTAACAGCATCATCGGGACTTATGATCGCGACGATGATGATGGTTAATATATTATTATTATTACTATTATTATGGTTATTGATTATGATTATTATGGAATGACGATTATTATTATAACGAGAAAAAGAAGCTAATGCATTATATAAAGAAAATAAAAGTAATTACATTTAACACTTACGTTAGGAAGCTAGATACATACATTTGAGACGCAAGCGAGAAAATGGAGCAACCCACGCGTTCGACGAGAAGTCTGTAAGTGTCATGGAAAAAAAAAAAACTTAACGTCGTACATTTCTATATCATGGTAGAACACGGGGACGTATATAAAGGACTAATATTTTTTAGCGAACGTCGCGGATATCTGCTCTTCGTCAAAAATCATGGGATACGAAGTGGTCAAGTCTATATACGAGCAAAAGAAAGAAATCGTTAAATATCATTGATAATCTGTATAAATCCGTCTTTTATATATATTTCTGTTAAGATGACATATATTACGTTAAATCGACCAAGAGTGAATTCTGAGATCGGCGTCGTGTCGAATCCAGAAGCCACGTATCGATGGACGGAGGAGAGGGTCTCCCGACGTTTGCATTTACGCGCCACGGACGTGTTCCCGTATTCAAACGTAACTTTAACGATTTGTTTTCTCGATTCTTGTTTATCTTATGTAAAATGCCGAGCCGAAAGTACTGTACGACGTACCTTATCCCACTTGAAGCTCGCATACAGATTACATAACTAGCTATTACGGACATGGCCATTAGCAGAGAAGTGTATCATTCAAGATAGTTTATCATTAAAGAAACGGTAATCATCATAGATATATTAACGACATTATTTATATTATTACGCATATTATATATAAATAATTGATAACATACTAACCCCCTCTAGGGTGAAGTATTGTGAGGGGGAGAGGGAAATGGGTAAGGGGGAAAAAAAACTACGAAAGGGTCGCATCCATGTGGGCGCGACAGCGGCGGTGTGTCGTTTTTTTTCGGAGTGTCGTCACCGATACAAGAGTGAAAAAAAAAAAGATAATGAATAAACCGCCAATTACTTTAACTTCGACAGTACTATTATTTGTATATGCCGAACGATTATGCCGTTTTCAGCGCAACATATTTTGGCAATTCTCTTTGGTGATATGGTTCATAGCGATCGTGTTTCGGTGAGAAAGAGACTGAGCGAATGCGAGCGAGAAAACGAGAGAATGAGCGAACGAGCGTGTGAACGAGAGAAAGAGGGGGAGAGAGAGAGAGAGAAAGAGAGAGAGAGAGAGAGAGAGAGGAAGAGAAAGAAAGAGAAAGAATAAATAGAGTGAGAGAAGACGGAGACCGGAGAGAGGGAGAGAAAGAGGAATAGAAGAATAAACCAAACGAACAAAATAAAAATCAGAAGTTTCTATACTTTTTACGGAGATTGTTATAGTCTAAGCGCACACTGATCAAGGCATTCGTCGCTCGGCAAAAAAATATAATACAATTATTAATATAAAATTTATAACAGAAATAAAAATAAATGAAGTTAATAAATATGTACACTGTATAATAAACATTATTTCCTATTAATAATTCATGTCTCTTCTTTATTCAATCGTCTTTCGCACCACAAATTAGAGGTTGTTGAAATCCTCGGCACAATATCGCATTTTAGAGATGTACAGTATATACAAAATATATATGCTTTACATATTTGTTTTTTATATCTTTTTGATTACAAGACACTTTCTTTAATGAACAAGAAGTATAAATCATTACATTGATTATACAATCGCTGACTATCTTTCCGACTACCAGTAATTCAAGATTCTTACTTATGAATAATGTGAATATTTTTAATTGTAGTGATATAATCCTTAGCTTAAGATATGGAATGAAAGATAACTTTTCAATTAAATATTTACGTAAACATAGAATTATGCAATGATATCAAGTCCTTCTCTCTTTCTACCGCTCGTTTCTTCTCTTTCCTGTACATTTCGTAGTCTTCATCGTCTGTTGGCAATTCGTATCGACAGAGCGGGCACGAGTTAGTCTAAAAATGCAAAAGTTGTAAATTGTACAAATAATTAAAATTGCTCGCAAGTCCTCGCACATTCCAATTCAAATTATTATTATTATTTTAATAACACCAATGCAGTTTTTATATAATTTTTTTCAATATTATTTTCCTCTAATACCTTCTCTAACCACGGTACGATACATTCTTGATGAAACACATGATGGCAGGGCATCGATTTTGCTTTACTGTCCGCTTCGAATTCCTTCAGGCAAACCGGACACTGCTTCGTCTCACCGGATTCAATCTTAATCTCCGGTAAATTAGCCACCGCCTCCTTCGACGCTGGTGGTGGAAGTTCCGTGTCCTGTCCGACCAAGTCCCACATGCCAAAATCCCGCAGGAACCGTGCCATTTGAATCAGATGGTTCGGCGTCTCTCCGTCACCTAGAGGCGTCCAGCTCATCTCCGCAAAATAATCGGACATGTCGGAATCAAGGTCGGAATTGTTACAAGCGAGCTTGCTTTGCAGATAAAACGGCAAAATCATGCAATGTCCACCTTTATCGTGATGAATGATAACTTCACTTTTATCTTTGATATCGATGATCAGATCGTTCCGTGGACATCAGTGGACGTCTTGCAACACGTATAGTTATCACTGCACAACTGTGCGCAACCAGCGTAACGGTGCGCTATATGTCATTTACGTTTTACGTGTCTGTTAAAAACCTCGACTCATAACGAAAACGTGAAGTCACAGTCTGCAGCACAGAACAGGAGGACGTTAGAAAGCAGTCGCTCAAGTGAACGTCGGAGCGGAGGTTGTCGCAACTAGAATGTACATTTGCTAGCGCAGTATTAATAATGTAAGTATAAATTAATGTTTTGCGTTTTAAATTGATAAATATTAAGGGGTTTTAATGTGTGTGTGTTCAGTTGCGAAGAACGGTTCACTAATTATTAAAAAAAAAACACACTTTTTTCTTTTCATTCCTGAATAGCTTTGTTATAACCGTAGTCTGATAAAGTAACTCTCCGAACGACAATTTTCTTTATACCACAAATCTATATATCATATATACGTATCTATATTTTGATGTAGACCAGTTGTTTAACACCAATTTTTTTTCTTTTGTTAATTTACAATATTTGTATTTATAAATTTTGAATATAATTGTATTAAAATACGTCACTTTCACATATATTTTAAAAACCGTCCCAGAAGTGGACGACTTTACAATCATTAATCATGAAGATAATTCTGAAACCTAATTTATCAACATTTCAACAATTGCTCAGGCAATCGTTAAACCCATCTCGACGTCTGTCAATTAGTACTATTTCAGTACGGGAAGCAAAAACAACCTTCCTCGAATCTCGAAGTGTTTCGTTATAAATTCGTATTTAACGTACATATTGTGAAAGACATACCTGGTAAGAATATTTTATTGAAAGTTGTGTAAAATAATCGGAAGTAATAAACATTATAAATATAAATTACAATTATATTAAATTAGCATTTTTTTCTTTCAAAATTTTAATTTAGATTAAAAATAGATATTTTAAAAATTAGATATTTTCTTTGTTAAATATAAGTTATACGTTGTATTTTTTTTAATAAAAATTTTTATTCTGTCAATACACGTAACGTGTTTGAAAAATTTATGTGTCACGTATTACATAGAGTGTTTTAAATATTTTAATTGTATTTGAAAAGTGTAATTTAAGTAATTATATTTAATATTAAATTTTTCTACAATGATAGAATATAATAATATAACGTCGCGAACGAAAACACAAGTCATTGCGCTAGCTATTATTTATATTTATAAGTACACTACAACCGAGATTCTTTGATAAACATTTATTGCCAAATCGGCCTGGAATTAATGACTTTCTTCTTGTATTCTAATATCGATCTGTCGAATCAGTTATATCGTGCAATTATTGATTATCGTCCTACTTGGTGTTTATAATTATCGCAATCAGATATCGTAATTGATGAATTAGTGTTGCAACAGATTTTAATATTTAACATGTTCAATGTTTCCATAATAATTCTATAATAAATGTAACTTATACGTATATATAATAATATGCAATATTCGTGGTACAGGAAAACCGGGTTTAGTGATAATGTGTAACACACGAAAGAGCATTATCTTTATATGGCTGTTATGTGTCCAGTCGATGATAATGGCACAACACGCCGAGGACAGCTGTTATCTGTCAACCAGCTTAATTGAAGAGATAGACTCTTATGCGCCGACCGTGCAGAGAATAATCGATGAATGTACTCAAGGCTCTTTCAAAGGAGCTACATGGCAAGATTTGGCGATGTTTGTTGACAAATTTGGCCCACGGTTTACCGGTACCCAAGTTCTTGAAGACTCTATTGATTACGTATTGAACAAATCGATCGCTTTAGGTTTAGATAATGTTCATGGTGAAACGGCCACCGTACCTCGTTGGGTCAGGTACAAATCTTAAAATGGATATTAAAATTAAATAACTTCAAAATAAAAGACAAATGTGATGATCGCAGTAATGAATTAATTTAGAGGCTCGGAATCTGCGACTCTTTTGCAACCACGGCTGAAAAATCTGGCGTTATTAGGGCTGGGTTACAGTGTCGGCACTTCAGAAGAAGGCATAACTGCCAACGCTATCGTAGTAAATAGCTTCGCAGAACTTAAGAAAAGGGCGGAAGAGGTGAATTTAACATATATAAAAAACCGCGATATATCTTGTGCAACGCACACTTTTTAAATGAATTTATTAGGTTCCCGGGAAAATCGTCGTGTACAATCAAAAGTTTGTCTCGTATGGAGAGACCGTAGAATATAGAAGCTCGGGAGCCGTAAGAGCGGCAGAATTGGGAGCTGTGGCTGCTTTGATCAGATCAGTAACCCCATTTTCATTGTACACCCCGCACACCGGTATGATGAGTTACGCAGAGAACGTTACTAAAATCCCAGCTGCTTGTATAACTGTCGAGGACGCGACTCTTTTGGGTAGAATGGCTGACCGAGGTAACGAATATGATAAAGAAATATTTTGTGAGATCTTCTAACTATAACTAATGGCGTTACTTTCTAGGTGAAACGATAGTGATAAACTTGAAAATGGAAGCGAAAACATATCCCGATACACAGTCGCGAAACGTTATAGCGGATATCACCGGCTCTAGCGCGCCCGAAAAGGCAGTCGTCGTTTCTGGACACATAGACAGTTGGGATGTTGGAGAAGGCGCGCTGGATGACGGAGGTGGCATTTTCATATCCTGGACCGCATTGAAAGTGCTGAAACATCTCGGCCTCCGGCCGCGAAGAACGATAAGGTAACTTAGCTTATTAAAATATAGCTGGTTGAACTTTGGAGCGTTCCGCGTATTTTTTTGTTTATTTTCAATTGGTTTTTTGTTATAATTTTATAGCTTGATATATAAATCTCTTTTTATAATCCTTTTTAATTAGCCTAAATGTTTAATTTTCGCTGTATATTCGCTCCGAACTTTAACTACATTAAAATATCTCGAAGTATAGGTACAATATAATTTAATTGATTCTTGATATGAAATTAATTATTTTTTACAAGCATTTTGTTACATGTCAAATTATTTACATTGCAGAATGATAATGTGGACCGCCGAGGAACTTGGCCTTCTCGGAGCGGAGCAGTACATACGAAATCACACTGCAGAAAATGGAAACATGCAATTCGTGATGGAATCCGATTTCGGCACTTTCGCGCCCATGGGCCTCGAGTTCTCAGGAGACGAGAAGGTCCAGTGTATACTCCAGAGAATAATGCGGTTAGTTCTTTTATCGATTACATCGCTATAATATTTTTACATTTTATTTTCGTCTGATTTGGACCTAGGTATTACTACAATACAAATATTAATTCTTTATTATAGAGTTATATTATTTGTATTTTTGAAAATTTTTCAACTTTAAGAAAAACGTTTGCTATTTTTATACCACATTATTTTACCAAATAAGCTATAGATTCTTTTATATTTCTAGATTGTTAGCTCCGTTGGGTGACATGAAGTTGAAGAGCCCATGCACGGCGCCTGATATATCATTTTGGATTAAAGCTGGCGTACCAGGTGGCGGTCTTTTGAATCGAAATGAAAAATATTTCTATTATCATCATACGAACGCGGACACCATGCTGGCGGAAAATCCGAAAGCACTGGATATGAATACAGCCTTATTCGCAGCAGTAGCATTCGTTCTAGCAGATATTAGCGTTGATCTACCTCAACGCAATTGCACTGACGTGTCATGTTGAAATCAGTTGATCTATGTATCGATGGATATGTAAATCAAATCGTATATTTATAGAGTGTTTTATTTCAAATATGCCTGTATAATACAATCACAGCATATAAACGATTAGGCCTACTACAATACCTAGGACAATACCTCTAAACTCTTTAAAAGCATCGAAATGCATGTGATCAAACGTGCTAGATTTTACGAATCATTTCCGATTTGATCTCTTTGCATGCTTAACGATTTTTATTAAAAGATCTTTCAAAGACTATTCAAAATATATACTATATACCAGCTATTTCGCAAAAATTCTATAATTAACAGAACGTATGTGTTCCACGCAGCTTAATTATCGGGATATATATGCCTCACATTTAAAGTGTTTGCTATAGAGTAAAATAAATCTGATTAGTATAAAAACATTTTTCGTGTCAAATTACGATGGAACACATACGTCTCATTAGTCATGGAGGATTTAAGAGATAAATAGATTCAGACATATTACATAATCCTCCATATAATAATCCCGATATTTAAACGTTTTAAATTGCCAATTATTTAAAAATTCTTACTTCTCACGTCAATTACATTAAATTATCAGTCTCAATCAAGTGTCAACGGATTTTACGATTTATATTAACGTATCTTCGTCTTGATTTGGAAAGACCATCAACAAGGAATGTTGAGAAGTCGTTCTCTGGCTCGAAGTCAACAGAGCGGTTTTCTCGCCTCCGCTGCCATTAATCGAGCAATCCGGCGAACTGCCGTCGAAGGCTATGTAATTGGTGGTCGTGCTGCTCGTGGATGGCATGTCATTTAGATCCGGCGATGCCAAGGGCGGTGCCTGGCCCGAACGAGCATTGGCACCATCCAATGACACGATCTGCATACTGTACGACTCACGATATCCGGAAGTACTGGACGTGTCTTCATCCCAGGATACGTCTGACACCTGAGGGTGCACATGCTGGTGATGAAAGTAGTGACAATGGTGGTGCTGATGCGCCGCACCATGGAATTGCTGCTGGTCCGCAGGCGCGTTGGAGTTTTTGTCTCCGTCCGATTTGCGAATAGACAAACTTCGCCTGGAACGAATAGACGAAGAATTGGAAGGGATGTTAGATGACAGCGGATCCACCGTCGATGACACCTGCATCGTCGCTTTCGGTTGACTCGTTGATTGCTCTGCGATTGCCGTATCCAACGGTTCCAACTTCATCTGCGTCGTCTGAAAGATAGTATTCTATGTCTGCAAGTTACATTCAGAGTTTAATACGCTATAAATAATTAGTTAAGTCATAATTAAAAATATAAAGGACGACGACAGTGAGGATTATCGAGAGAAGCTGTATGCAAAACTGAGAAATTCTGTAACGCAGTAATGATGAGGGAAGCACTGAGAAATATATACGTAAATGTCATCACCTCAATGTGACTCTTTCGACTTTTTCTTAAGCGGAAGGTCTTCTTGCTTTGGCCCATAGAACGTTGTAAGCGAGGCCTGTCGGTACGTAATTCTCCGGAGCTGTCTTCGGTCGGACTGCTTGGACTTAGCTGGCCCGTCATCGTCTCCCCTGGCAGGACAGTCGACGATCACACATGTCGCGTCTACCGTCTTATTCACGAATTCTACTCTACGTTCCATCTACTCATGCTCCTCTTTCGAAGTGTATGATTCTCAAGTTTTGTTTCTTAAGTGCGCAGGAAATAATATATATTAACACCCGCGTCCCGTGCTTGATGTAACATGGTACTATGTACATCTAGTATAAACGTAAATTCTCTTTCACGATTATAAATATACTCTACTTTGGAATCTTTATACATTTTTTGACTCTCGAGGAATTACATAGAAAAGGAAATTTTAGGGTGCATTCTCTTTTGGAATCGAGTGACATTTAGATCGTTAATTCTGAAACAAAATATTTCGACTTTGATATTTAGTGAATAAGTATATATTCATATTTGAGAGATTAAAATGTTTCCATGCTTGTAAAAACACGGATATATAAGTATTAAAAAATAAGACATTAATTTAGAAATTATTATTGTACAGAGAACGTCTTATAAAGATTGACATGATGATGGAGAAATTTTACTGTATGTATAGAATGTGATATCGTATGTACGTTGCATATTAAAAATCGGGGCGTATTAATATTCTTCTAGAAGATATTATAGTATCTGTTACGTACATGCAAGATTGTATTTGCGAACGAAACAAATTGTTTTATATTGCAAGGCGCTAAAAATCAATTTTACAAGATTACATGTACTTGTGTTACGTATCCGCGCACTAGATATCGGAGGAACAAATATTTGTCAGAAGAGTTGCATGAAAAACCTCTTGTAAACTGACAGAATTAATTAAATGTAAAATAAAAAGAAATAGAAGCGAAGTGCTTGTCATGTTACGTGGTAAACGTAAAGTTTGAATGTTTCTACTCTTAAACTATTCCAGAAATATAACTTCTATTTTCTGGAAAAAAATGTTAACAATGATAGTTTGTACTGATTATTTAATAGATGAAACGTAATGCGATGCAAGTAACTAGCTGTAACTATTTTTTTCTTAATAAACTAATTAAGTTGAAGCATAACTTATAAAGTTTAATTTAAAAATGATCAAAAAACATAATTTTTACTTCATGCAATAGCTGCCGTAATTAAATTTACGGAATGTCTAAACTACAAATTTATCTATATGCAATTTAATTTCTACATAATTTTACATGATGAAGAATGATTGTTCTATAATGCAGATATATAAAATGAATAACAACCAATACAACTAAAGTAAAAAACAAAAGAAATATTTTCTACAATCTTGCATTTTTCTTAAATTTCTGTTCAAAGCTGGCTGTTCTGCAAGAACGCGGTAATGATATTAGTGAAAAGTAGATTATAGTTTGTGCGATACGTCGACATTACTACAAAAAGCAGGTGAATTAAATAAATTTAATAGAAATCCATTCTGTAAAGTTGTAATTTTAAATCATATTTTCAAAGTCAAACTTTTCACCGATTGATTTGATCACAGCACTTTTAATTCTTGAGAACAAAGATTGAGAAAAGGTCAATCTTCTGGAATAAAAACCTCTGCAAACTTCTTCAATTCATCTATTTTTGCAGTAACATTTAGATACTGTACGATATTGGAAGAAGGAGAGGGAGTCTTCCAAGGGACATATTAATAATATATCGTGTATAAGCTAAAGCGGGGGACTGGGGATTTACCTGATGAGTTTCTAAACTCTACGGAAGAGACAAAGCGCAGCTTTGGCGCCTTTTGGTGAGGTAAGATAGAATGAAGCTTAACATGGTTACGTTCATCGCTAGTAGAAGATGATTGGAATCTATCTGAAACATGCCACATCGAACGTCTAATATGAGGGAAGGGATAACAATTAAGACAGACCACGATATAGTAATCATCGTCGATACGTTGTTCACGATCCGTACATCGTGTCGATGTTGCACACTTCGAGCCTGAGTCTTGGGAACACATCGATTAAGTGTGATGCGATAAAGTGTAATGCCTTAATGATTTTGTCGACGGAAATAAAGCTGCTAAATTTATAGTTAAGACCTTATGAGCGATTCATGATATCTTGTACGAAATTTTGTGTGTTTTCTCGATGTATCTTAAAATTATATGTCATATGAGTCCCGAAGTGACATTGTATCCATACACATATATCGATCTTAATCTTCTAATCAATAAAAATGGTCGCAAATAGTAACGTGATGAAAATTCCAATGAGACAAAGTATTGTACGATATTAACATATGCACGACATAGATACGTGAATTGCTGTAAACACCTGTACGATGTTGCTTCGATTAAAAAAGATATATTAAATATTGACAAATTATGTTGTAAAAACATTGTTGGAGCAAGCAATAATAGGACGAAAAATTTCAAAGGTTCTCGTGATATCTGAGTAATTAGTTGAAGTATATCCTTCGGGCTTAGAGAAGATTGCTGAAATCAAGTGTATTGATATGGAATTGTTGACACCGATACACATGTTGTCGTCGTGTTAACTGCGAAAACAATTAATGACAGTTAGTTACGTGCTGTCGAGTAAAGGAAGAAAGCGATAGAACATCGAAGCAACTACGCAACGATCAGTAAGGGTACCAACTGTTGGACATTACCATTGTCTAAATACTGCTATGTAATAAATTCCTTATGAGTTTGCGTATAAAACGTGATAAAGGAGACGATAATAGATATCAGTGTTCTAAAAGAAAATACCGTGAAATGAGATTGCGCACTCTACTTTTTAAGAGAGCTCATTATATTATTATATAATAATATTTTCATGCAATTTTACAATCTTTTCCTTGATTTTATGCCATATTTTAATTCCATCACAAATGATGATTAAATCGCTATTTAATCAATGTTTCAACAATCTCGTTTCACGGCAAAAGTGAATTAAAGAGGCAATAAGAAGTGGGCAAAGACCGAGGTAGGCGAGACGCAAGAGACAGGGCGAGCGATCGAGGTATGATCAAAATTACAAAAAAGTGATAAGCGTGAGAGGGGCACACACCAGCAGGATATATATCATAGATCGTGTTAGAATTTGATTGATTTGTAGAATCGGTCCGCTTACCTCCGTTCCCTAGCTAGCAATGGAAGCAACGTAATGATCAATGTGTCAATAATACGACCAGGGAGAGAAAGAGAGAGGCGCGAACGACTTATGCCTTAAAACGACGCCTTAAATGATTAATGCGATTAATCGAGGAATCTTTTCCCGATGGTGGGGCATCGCTATCTCGTCCGAGACGAGAGTATTCTCGCCCCTAAACGAAAGGAGAACAACTAAACTCTTCAAGTTGCAAGCCTCGCTGTAAAGAGGAAAATGAAGTGAAGACAATTGAGTTCGTTGTGCAAGAACCGCGCGAGAAACCTGCACGAACGTAAAGAAAGAGAATCATCGTTGCTAAGAAAAAGAGACAAATAGAAAAAGAGAGGAGCGACTTGTTGGCAGTGGTCTATAGACAATGGCTCGATCCAACTGTGGTAGCGGTCAGCGATTTTTTCGTACTGCGCGTACGACAATAATGAAACGTATGCGAGAGGCTTGCAGTCGCATCGACCGTAATCGACATTTCGGGATCTTCTTTATAGGATTTCTCGAAAATGATGGAATACCTGTCGTCGACGGCGGCTGCTCGGCACCGGTTTCCCCGGCGATTGTCTCGCTCACTTCACGCAGAGTGGCAGATCCAGCGCTGGTGCTCGATAAGGATCCTGCAATTATAAGATATTACTACAATTGTTAAAAAAAAATACGTGGGAAAAAAGAAGAAAATAGCAATAATACATAATAAATTATACTTGTTAATATATGTGTACTTTTTGAAATTTAATTGTATATTTTAATTATATGTATATGTATGAAAATCTTTATAATAAAAACAGCAGAGGAATCAATAATGTAGTACCACCAATGCGGGTGCCGTTCGGCGGTGCTGTTACTTGAGTGGGATGCGTTGTCTTAACAGTGCTACTCGTGTTGGATTGAGTTGAATGCGATTGAGCTGCTGTGGAATGAGACACTGGTGTCTCAGCGGGCGTACGATTCATGTGAGCTCTCGATCCCAAATCGCCGGTTAGAAGATCCATCAACAGAGACGGCCTCTGAGTACGCGGTTGGCCTTCGGTTATCGAATGCATATCCACCACGCTTCTCTTAGGTTCCGGTTGCATCTCATCTGTACATTGAAATTACAAAGCATTTGATTGAAAAATTCTTAATCAATTTAACTTTTGAAAGTGAATGTTTTAATTAATTAAAATTAAACGCGCTTTCGAGTCTGCCATAAAATAATTGGGATTATATATTAAAATAATTTATCAGCACGAGAAAGATAAATGATATAAACGAGAAAAAATTTTTTACCGAAGCTCGTGAATGTCATTGTTAAGTTTCTCAACATTGCTAACACACTAACCGCATCTTCGATTCTCAATTTCCTGCTTTAGGTTCTTTAACTCGTGAATAAGATCCATCAGTAGCGCGCCCCGCGATTTTGGCACGGTTGTACTGCTACCGTTGATCTTCTCGCGTATGATGGTGTGCATATTTCGTTCGTGCTCGGATATCGGTGCTTGTCCGATTTTATAAACGATGAACGGAAGCATTTGAATGTACAATGCTGTCCGGTGCGTCACAATAAATTCTATGAAATTCCAGAGATACGTGGAAGCTTCGTTGCGCTTGTTCAAAAGACGCATCGCGCGTAGAATTATCCGCCATTCGGTTCTCAGCTCGGTTTCAAAACATATCGTCATTATTTTAAGCGCTGGAATCAAACATTCGGATATTAAGCATATATCGCTCACGAGAGCAACAAATACGTATCATTCACATAACAAATAATTTTATAGAAACCATATTTAATAATTTAATTTCTAACTTTTGCAAATATCTGCTTTCTTCACATAAATCTTACCCAGAAATGCGACCTGATATAATGTTAACGATGTTTTCGTCAAAGCCTTCGGATCTCTTGCGGTGAATGTTATACTACCGGTCCTTGTGTCCGTCGGTGGTCTTTGCATCGTCAATGGTATCGGTTTTGCACCCGGCGGCCAAAGTGCGTTCAACACAGTCGTTAGAGCAAATGAGATGTCCGATTGCTTCAGTTTCGGCACGTCTGAAGATATCAATTTAAGATAACATTCGTTCATAATGTCGTTCTCTCAAACGTTGCAATGCATTGTTTTACCTTTTCTCCCAGTTCCAACGCGCAGAAACAATGGTATCAACAAGTTCAGTAGGGCATTCTCCGTGCGAGTTTGAGTAGCGAACATGTTCTGACCACCGAGAACATTTTCCAGGGAATATCCCTCGCCGAAGGATATCACGTGTAGAGCAATCAGACGTAACACCGTCGAGCAAAACTGCGGTGGCGGAAGTGGTACGGGTAGTTTGCTCATTAAAGCAGCTGTGGAAGCCGAGGTTAAATCTTCAGATAGATTGTCGCCGACAATTAAAGCCTAAAAAAATTAACGACAATTAAAATTGAAATCCAAGTAAATTAAAGTAGATCAATAGGCTTATTACGATTCTTGAAACGAAGTGAAAGTTACAAAAGTGAGGAAATTCACTAGAGTATCTATGATTTTATTGGTCGAAATCTAGTAAATCTGTTCACTTTTGTAATTTTCACCTTGTTTCAAGAACCGTAATCGACCCCCTCTGAATAACAGAAGAAATGATTCATGATACCTGACAAGTAGACAACAACGTCTTTAAATATTGAAAGTGCGCGATATATGGACTCTTCGACAGAGTTTCGTACACCCCTCTCAAAAGATCACTGGCAGCGACCCAATCGGTATTCCTTCTGATCGATGGTTTCTTGTGTATCTTACTGAAAGTCTTATCCAATCTCCTGAGAATCAGCGTTAACGCCGGTCTCATTTCGTCGGCCGCCCACTCGGTTGAAGGAAGAATGTCATTCATGTATCGTTTGAGACCACGGCAAGCCATAGTGACCGGATCGTATGGAGAAATCTTCAGGAGACTATGAGCTATATCAGCTAGGCGCTAAAAAGTACAAATTATTTTCTAAACCCTTTACATAAATACCTTCTAATAACAAATATAATCATATTAAGAATAAAAATACGAAAAATCATATTAATCAAAAATAGATAAAATGTTGTTAACACTTTATTATTTATTAAATTCATTGTCGGCAGATAAAGTAAACGCTTGCAAGTATACGCTACGAAGATCAATGAAGAATCGTCAACTTACCACGTGACATTTTGAATCCAGCAACTCGATAGTTTTTCCATCCTGAGACTTCTTATTGAGCTCTGCCAAACGAGCGGAACAACGAGCTACAAAATCTCCGACCATATTTAATAAGGTGTCGCGGGGTCTTCTAAACTCGTTCTTATGAAAATCCTCGTCTCGATCGTAAAAATGTCGAGCTTTCGAGTGTTCCATGTACTTCGTGTGAGTGTCGTCTTCGAAATCGAAACCCGGTGAATACGGACCTTTACCATAATTCTTTTGACTGGAGCCTTTATGTTCGGGACTTGATTTTTGCGGACCGTTATAATATCTGCGAGAATTAACGAGGTATTGATTTTACTAAGTGGTATTAGGAAAGAAGCGAAAAATTGTAAGAAAAGCAAATTGTGACAAATTTAATTCATACTTTGTCAATGCTTCGGAATTGTTGACTAATGTCCTAACTGCAATCGCTAACTGATTTATTATCTCCTTCTCTGTTTTGCCTTCTTTATTGTACGTGGGTAGTTGGATTTGCTGAACGTAGCACGGCAGTATCGCTTCTAATATTGTCTATAAAAAAGGCAGTGTACATCACACACTTGATAAAATAAAAATTAACGGCAACGTAAAATAACAACATTACGCGGATATCTTACCAGCATTTGTTGGCCTCTGATCGAGTCAGGTGCGTAAGCTATTACCATCACGCAGAGAGATATACAATCGAGTACGTCGACCATTTCGTTTTCATCGTGATAACAAAAGTCTATCGCTTTCAAAGGCTTCTCTTCTTTCACTAATTCTCCTATATTGAGTGGATCCGGCGACGGAGTTTCCAAACTTAATAATAAGTTAAACAGGCACGTAGCTGGAACCTTTAACAAAATCACAATATTATTTTCCAGAAATATTTGAATATATATTTTTTATTTATCGATAAAAGAAAGCGAACCTTATGAGCCTCGCCATGGACGCTTATCATATCTGTATCTAATATAGTAGAGACACTGCCAAACATCTGTAGAATGAAGGGTTTACGGTTCATGAGATAAAATTGCTTGACGGCATATTCAACGGTGGTCGTCACGAGCTTGTTCGTCTGATGCGTTGAGTATAGTTGCAGTAAGGTCGGCATGATCAACAAGTAACCGTTTGTCGAGAAGATATTTTTGAAATTATGCGCTGCGTTTATGTACGTCGCAATGACATAGCGTAGAATGCAGGAATCCTCGCTGTGAATGATCACGGCGCCATTCAGGACGTTCAAAAAGAGATGTATATCACCGGAATACGCGAAATTGCCGGCCATGGCCTCGAACATGCGCGCGATCAGCCTCACCCACATAAATTTATGCATCACATCCAGCCCAAGAAGCTCCTAAAGAAGAAAATTTCAAATTTATTTATAAGATATAACGTATATTATTTCGAACGATCTAATAATTTTTAGATCGACAAGTCGTGAATAAAAGACTTAGATACATACTCTTCCAATTTCGCCACCTTTGTAGAGATCCAAGTCTGCTTCCAGTGCTTTTCGCGGGAACGACGGTAGCTTCATGAGCTCTTCGTGAAGAAACACAACTCTTTGCACTACCATATCGACATTCTTCAGGATCGCCCAGGTCAATAGCACCTTTCCTATTTCTACGAATTTATGCACCAATTCCTGGCGTTGCAACGCATTGAACGCATCCTCCGGTTTCATGTGAACGAGTTCGATTTGTGGAAATTGAGATCTCTTAAAGAAATAATAGTCTCTAACATACGATGATGGATTGTGTATTTGATCTGCAAATTGATGAAAAATTTTAGCTACATTAGCAGAATGAAATATTATTGCACAGTAAAGATTGTTAAATAAAATAAGGAACTCACGCGTCTTGTAATCCACGAGGAAATACTCGTGATGCTTTGTTTCTTCGACGCCGAAAAAGTCCAAGGACTCTCGAAGTATCTGACAAAATTGCGTGTCCTCCGCAACCGGAAACTGCGACGGTATTTCTCCGGCGTCAGGATCCTGTGGGCCGTGAACGATGATCTTTTTCGCTGACGGAACATTCGCCGTAAGTAGGATCGACGCATCGCACTGTTCCTTCCGCAGGATTTGTTTTAGATCTTTAAACATAATACCGTGTACACTGTGCACCACCTAACATCAGAAAATCATTGTTGGCAATTCTGTATAATGAATAAATAAAGTTTGTAAATAGGATAATTGAAAGAAGGCATATATTTTACCATCCACAGGATTGACAACGCGGTTCCAATTAATTTTTGGCCCTCCTCGTGCGGAGTGCGCACGTAAAACATAACATATCCAATAATATAATTGTACAGCGCGAACGCAGCCTGTTGCGGCAATTTCGGCACAAATCTGATAAGATGTCTCAAAATCTTGAACATCAACTCTTGCTTCTCTCTTGTGAGACGCTCCAGCACGTATCGAAGAAACAAAGCGCTATCTTCCACCAAACAACTCCAGATTACCTGATATATAAAATAAATTAACATTATTCCCTGAATCCCTGATGGAAAAATGTCTCAAAATTGTTCATATTATTAACCAGAATTTCTATGACAATTTTAAAACCTTCTTAGAATTTTTCAAATTTTTTTATACGAATTAGAACGTTTTTCAGAAAAAACTCAGATAAAATAATAATAAAGTATTTCAGATTTTTGCCACCCACACATCTTTGTAGAAATCTGAATAAATATAACAAATCCCGCGCAATTTATCAGAAAAATAGGTATTCATACATACAGATACTGAAATATTTCGAAAATCCTCATCCAATTATTTCTGAAAGTATCTGAGAAATTTTACATATTTTTTTTTAGAACTTTATGAATCTAAAATATGAGAAGTTCTTAGAAAATTTCTGAGAAAATATGAGAATTTTGTCCACCAGGGTTGAATGAAACAATATATAAAATAGCTCACAAATTTACTTCATTACCTGATATGCCACTTCGTATACCGCGTTTCCATCGTCAGAAACTGCTGGATCGTCCAAGAGATTAATAATTTGAACAATCGCTGAACACAGTGATGACGGAAACAACGAGAGAGCTGACTGGGCGTGATGGGTTTGAGTATTCCTTGGAACAGTATCAGCTGCGTCTTCGTCCCCTACATTACCTTCATTAAAAAAGGAGAGAAATGTTGCAAGAAATGCATAGAGAAAATGAATTGTATACATACCTTCATCGTGATCATCTCCCACTGGGCTCGGTTCGTAAGCGGCTTGTACGGTAATCGGTATCGTCGTAATTAGAAAATTTTCTCTCTCTTCCCGCTTCTTATCGTCCTGTGCCTGAAGAGCCTTCGTGATCAGTTCGGTCTGTTGTTTTTTCCGCGTCTTCGTCGCGGTCACCAAAGATCTCTAAAATAAACAAATTCCGTAGATAGTCCATTAACCATTAAAAATGTGAAATTACCTAACCCAATCATTTAATTTTTTTTTATAATTTAAAAGCAAATAATATGTGCTTATCGGCTCGTATCGGCCTAAATGCCCTCGTTTAGATATTTATTCACTCACATGATGTTCCTGATTGATAGTGACCTCCTCCACTTTGGTTTTGACCTGGGGCATCCAGGGCGGATCGACCACCGGTAAAGATTCAATTCCGATTTTTGGTGACGGCAAAGTGAATTCTATTCCTGGCGGAGGTACTTTGAAAGTTAAGTGAGCCGCCTCCTCCATCCGCGGCCATACTTGATATCGTAATTTCCACAGAACTTGAAATCGCAAAATTGCGTTGATGCGCACACTAGTGTTGTTATGTTGAAGACCCTTGTGCATCAGATCGCTCGCCTGGTTTGGTGCCCGTACGGCTGATACTATAAAAAGTGCCGCGGCTGATGCGGCGACTTCTTGATTGGATTCTAATAAGAGCTCCCACGCAACAGGCAGCACTTCCACGAACAAATCTTCCGTCATGACGACCGCCCCTTTGATTAAAGTAGCCAAAGGTGCGTGAAAAGCATCTTTCACTTGAGTCCTTATGTATTTCAAGACCGGTGGTGGCTCTTTATCTTTCTCCTCCTCAACAGTATACTTTGTTGTGACCCTTCTCAAGGATTCCTTGCCTCTTTCAGAATCCTGATCTACGAGATCTTTCGAAGAATCCCTTTGAGTTGATCGGCCGGATTGAGAACCATCCAGATTTTTTTCTATCCTGTAGAAATATCCATTAAATTGGCATCAGATATAATTTGGAAAAAGATAGTTATTTATGTATAAATTTTGAATTGCGGATTTTTACAATCACATATCTGTATATCGACAAGAATACTTAATAAGTTGCTAATATTCTATTAATTTTACAAAATATTTATTTAATATTTTATAAGTTAAATACTTATTCTCAATTAACAAATAGCTTTTTAAAAATTTGTATTACTTGTACTTGCGCCCCACGCTGTCTTTCCTTCGAATAGGCGACACCTGCGTGCTAGTTTGGTCAGATACTTTGCGGCTGCGTTTGTCCTTTTTGTCGTCCTTCTTATCAGTGTCAATGTCCAACAAACCCGTACCGTTCAGTATACCAAATTCCTCCCCATAGATCTTCTTCACCGATTTTATTAATCTGCTGCTAGCTCGCATTTGTCGTCGATGGCAGAAGGGATGGCAAAAGTTCTGATGAGAGCAGTAAAAATTGAAGGAATTGGCAAATTGCACGAGCACCTTCATCCACGGGAAATTCTTATTGGTTTCGTCGGTCTCGTTGCTGTCGCTCGGACTCTCCGGTGGTTGATCGTCGCTGAGAATGCCTGGCGATTCATCGCCACTGACCTCGCCGCCGGCACCGGGTTCGGATGTGTCGCTTCTGTCAGAGAGCGAGCTCACTTTTCTTTTGGATTGAATCGAATCTGCCCGTTTTACCGTATCTATAAATGGAACGCAATATTATTACTTAACGTATATAATTATCAATGTTAACAAAATTAATTCTGCAACGATATTAAGAGTAATTTAGATAGAATTAATTGTGCCATCTTTTACAGGGACTTATTAATATTTACTTTTTTCTCGATTTGTTTTCAGATTTCACTTACATGCTTCGCACTCTGTATCCTTGCCCTCTTTGGTGTTGCGACGAAGTTTAAGGCTTCTCTTCTTAAACGAACCAGTTGCAGCGCTGGCAGTACTGCGACGAAGGAGGAATGGTCTACTTTGAGGATGCACTGCCTGCATCCTCTTCGCTTTCTCCTTTTCGATATTCTGGGCTTCCTCACCTTGAATCGTAACATTCGATTTGCTGCTTCCCTCAGACTCATTATCAGGTTCGTAGAGGACAAAACTGATTTTGCGCTCCGCTATGGAATAAATTTATATTTTTGCCGGTCAAATACTTCGTGGGCCCCTCTTCGAAACAAGGTGATTTTATTTAGAATAACGCGCTCGTCAATCACTTATTGTTCTAGACTGACCGACAACTTCGCGATCGCCGGCTATAGATTGAAGACTCTGCGCGGATGCCTGTGAATGGCCCATGGATGACAAAGCCACGCTCCATCGTCGATTTGCTTCTCGACTGTACATTCTTTCCCAAGGCGGATGACGTTCCTTCGTCAACAGTTTGCTCGACTTCGGTAGAGTTTGGTAAGTCTCTCTCAGAAACGCCGTCACTTCCAGTAGCAGAACGCAAGCGACGAGACGTAACGCGAAGGGACATTGGGATCCATAATTATTTATGCTAGCTGAAAGTTATTAAATTTTAATTACGTTCTATCTGGACTGCTGAATTGATCTTCTGATATCTTGAGCACAGGAGTATTACCGTCATCAAGAAAATCTTCCTCCTCATCTTCCAGAATCAACTCTCTCTGTTTGCTTTCATCGGATACTATGCTGGTTACCTGCTCCATATTTTGCTTATCCTCGGTCAAGAACTCTTCCAAACGTGCCCCTATAGCCTGTTTTAATAACAATCTCGTATTTTATGTTGTCCAAAAATTCTTTCAATAAAGACGAAATGTCAATCAGAAGTACCTCTGCCCATTGATAAAATAATTTTCCCGCGGTGCGTTGTAATATATGAACGCGTCTAAGTGCAGTGGAGGCGTTCCGACTGTTTATCGGCACCGACGGTCGAAACATGGGAAAATTGTGTTTCATCCATGCGGGCCAGTGGCCTTTGTTGCACTGATGCACTAAATGTGCGCATTCCAGGATCAGGCAAGCGCGAGATACTACCGGCGCGTATGGCTGTAATCGCATAGTTAAATACTTAATTTCTATTGCGCTTCGCAAAAATATGAAATGTAAGAATACAAGGTAAATTATTACAAGGTCCAGAAGCGACGCCATCAGATGAGGATCGGGAACAGAGCCTGGCTGACAGGTCTCCAGGAGAAAGGAGAATCGTAACATTCCTTCAAATACCGCGGTGCGAGGTACCAATCTTCTCTCCTTCAGTACAACAAATTCGGATTCTCTGCAAGCCTCGCCGAGCTCCATGGAATTCTTTCGACTGAAATCTAATCGGAAACAGATCCATACGACGGTGAATGAATTTCGCGGGTTTTTGGCAAAGAAATATTTTACACGCGATGGTATACACAAATAAATTAATTTGTATGAAATTCAAGTATAAATCCATTCTTACAGTTTCCGGGCGTCTCTTCCATGCTTTCTTTCTTTTTGCTCTTTCCAAAACCGATCTTATTCAACTGATCTTCCATCCGACGTTTCGCCTTTTGCAGAGTTATACCAACCCTAGGAAACAATCGCGCGCATTTCAATACATAATTTATTAGAACTCTACAGGTGCGCGCTACCGCGCGCGCTCTGATTAAATAGCACATTACATTCGCGAATTTACTTGTTTAATCCTCTTACACACAAATTGTCAAAACGCAAGCGGCTGTCTCGAAACAACATCGCGGAAAAGACGCAACAATGAACTTTTCATGCCTTTTCTAAAAAGGGATTCTTTATTTTTCAAAATAATGGGATAATTTATATAGACGAGCTAGCGTTTTAAATAGACGATTTACCCGCGACCAGTCCGGGACGCGCTGCGATGATGACCGTAATGGAAGCTGGGTTGCCTAACAAAGCTGCCGTCTGTGGGCGACTCGCTACTTTCATGGCTATCGGTAGAATCGGTCCGACTGTACTCCTTCCGGAACCAGTTAACTAAAACCGATCGAATTGATTCAATATAATGGCTCACAGTGTGCTGCAAATGATTCGCGCCGCTCACCGATACCGCCAATTTGAAATCGCGTCGATTTCCGCGGTCCCAGAGAAGGCTCGCCGATACCTAAATTGCGTTCGCTCTGCCTGGGTGTCAATACGTGATGTTTCTTGCGCAGATTACCCAACGGGCTTTGACTAATCTTCACGTTGTCCTCGCTCAATTCTGTCTCGAGCAGACTCTGCAAGTTCGATCCCGCCTACCAAGTTAACCATTTTAATACCATACAGAATGATAGACAACAGGGTAATTATTGTGCGATCATTATTATTATATTTACAGCGCAGGTGGATGATGTGCTCCTTTTCTTAAAAAGGAATTTTCGCGTGCCTCTGTCGTCAACGGTGAAACACGTATCTCCTCCAATGTCCGCGTGTTCCTCTAAATCCGATTGATGCATATGTCTGTGAAGTTAATAAATACGTAAAAAGACCGCGAGAGAGTTTTTAAAAAGCGTTTATTCATTTCTCATCAAACTATAATAAAAATTATATATTTTTTTAAGAAAATCACGTAACTATTATTAAAACCTTCGTATTTATCCACAAACCTTATGACACGTGTTGTCTGCATGTTGCTGTTACATCGTTTATTCGGTCGATCCGCGGAGTCTAGGATTCCACTTAAAGCAACCCGTCGGAAAATGCCACCGTGCGCCTCCTTGACGTATGTCATCAATTGTCGCACGTCGCAGTAGAGGCTGATGTTCTCTTGCGCCTTCAACTGCTTCGTGGAACCGATGAGACGCGTGACCAAGACCTTGAAGACGCAGGTCATGATCTGTCCCTCGATACCGCGCGTCCCGTAACCACCGGCATTGTACGACGTCGCGACGCCGCTCGCTGTTCCGATGACGTTGCCACCGCTTCCGCTCGAGGTACCGACTCCGCTTCCGCCGGTTCCGGCACCAATCGTGCCGGCGCCGAAGTTCGTCGCGTATCCACTTTGGGTGGCCACGTCGGGCGATTTTCCCGACATTCTTTTCTGATCTAAGAAGATGATGAAAAGCGAGAGAATAAGTCTTCTGCATTAACACAAAATTAAAAATCTGTTTTCCTTTGTATAGAACGGAGTTATCTCTATGTCACGTACAACGTATTTAATTCGTATTTAATTTACTCACTAAGCGGTGACAACAATGAGCTCGGATCGACGCAGTATCCGACATACGCGTGAAAGAAGTCCAAGATCTCCGTCAGCGGTTGCTCTCGCATCATCGTTCGTAGGAATCGCGAGAATTGACGGGAACTCGCGCGATGCAGTTTTGTCAGGATAGTCTGGCCCTGGGAGCGACAGATATCAGCCTGAGGTCCGCGCACCCCGTCCAAGCAACCGTGCGGGCAGCCTAGATGCCTCAACACTCTGATCACGCAATTCATGAGAAGATTGTGAGCGGTTGGCTTGTCCTTGCCGCTCGAATCGTATCTATGTTCCTGATGTAATTCTGTTGGCGAATCCTGTTTCTTCCCCGTTTCCGATTTATTGTCGATCCCCGTACCGGATCCTACACGAGAAATAATCGATTGACTTCGAAATGAACGCGATTACAAATTAAAAGATCTTTTATTTTATCCTTGTTGTTAAAAGAACACAAAAAATAAATTATTTAAAGATATAAAATTGCTACTAAAACGCTATTGCATTCTTAATACTATAATTATCTAATTAATCTAATTTCATTGCCTGCGTTACTGCCGACGGCTTCCTCTCGAAGACAATGCTTCATCACCCCCATGTCCATCAAGAGTTCCATCAAGTTCAGCATAATCTCGCAGACTCGCGGCGTGCAAGTGGTGTTATCTCGCAAAGCAACGAAGTGTATCGCCTAGACATGACAAAATGCGCGTGAAAAATTCAAAGAACTGAGAAGACGCAATCATATTTTGCAATTATACCTTCAAGACGACTTGAAGATCAACATCACCCTCCTTGGTGATGTAACACGCGGAGCCCGGAGCTTCCGGCACCTCGTCGCTCATGTAAGTGATGTTAGAGTCCGTCTGGGATCTCGTGAGACTAGGTTTTCTCTCGGAACACAAACGACCTGGGCCTTGGACGCTGATAACATCTAATTGACTGTCGATGGATCCCTGAAGAGGAAATAGCCAAGTGCTCAACAAATATAAAAATAGTAGTTATTATAATAACAATTTCAAGAATAATTAGCAACAATCATGCTATTAATTAAATTGTATCCTGTACACATGGGATAAGAAAGAAATCAATTTGAGAACACCGTTCTGACTTTATGTTATCGTGCGATCGTACTTCGCAGAAAATGGCAGGTTTCTTTACCTGACGCTTCATGTAATCGGGGGATGGAGTTGGCGTGTGTTCCGTGACGGTGATAATAGGGTTCGGCGCGGTGTAGGATTGACTGTAAAACCGACTCTGTTTTCTCTCGATGCGAGTATCGCCGAGGTACCTATAAAACAGCATGGGTCAGAAAATCCAATTTGATTTTTGTTGTTTCGAATATCCTCATGCTATTTGCCAAAGTGAGCCCTAGTCAAGCACTATGATCTCGTCTCTATGATCTCGATCTACGATCGTGCGCCTGCGATTCCGTCGACACATGCACGATGATTTTTAACGACTTTTCAACGTTGCCCATACGGTAACGAGTACAAGTCTTACAGATTAAAAATTATTATGTAATTAGAACGAGAAATATATTTAAAAATTTTCAAATAGATGAAGCAACAAGAAAACTCCAGTCACAGAAAATAACATAAATATTAAAATCTAACACTTATGTTAGTACATGTACTAACATGAGTGTTAAAGTTGATTAAATTTTTGTAGAAGATGGATTAATATTAATAAATATTTGTTTTTATCTTTTGTGTGTGTGTGTGTAAGTATACTTGAAAAAAATCTTAAAATACTAAACTGTTACACATTTTAAAATGTTATATCAATTCATTTGAATAAATTAGAAGAGACGAGACCAGATTTTTATTTGTTTATTAAGAAACAAAAAATATATTAATTCTCGTAACAGCAATTTAAATTAAAAGATCAAAGGGCAACGTTATTCGATTTCTAATGTATCTCGTTATACGACATGCACAAATATGTAAAACATGAGGATGTTTCTACAATGTAATCTTCTTATTTATATATCTATTACAGGACTCTATGCTGGAATATAAAGCAATAGATTAAAAGCAATATAAGGGGGAAGTTATTAACTTTGATAATTGATTTTAATTAGTGCATGATATAATTTTAATGTAGTGTAGTACACATTATATACATGTAATTAAAATAATGATGTCATAAACAAAAAGTCATTGATTTCGGAAATTAAAAAATCATTATTACATACGTATTATATACGTATTTATCTGTATACATATATTAAAAGGATTAAAAGAGAGAGAATGAGAAAAGGAGAGATTTTGTGTACAGAATCAACAAAACATAAATTATTATTAAATTGTTATTAAAACTGTTACGTAACAGAAACAATCATTAAAAAATTATTGTGGATAAGATTTGTCAGTAATATACGGAGCGGATTTGGTGATGTGCCTCGTGTGCCTTCATGGGTTCTTGCCGATGTGCCGATGCGACTGAATTTCGGTGTGTTTATTAAGGAGTAAAAGTGCGCCCTACCGAAAGCAGGAAGCTCGTAAAAGAAGCGTGTGAACCGAGCTGCAGTACGGAACTTCCTCCGAATGACGTTGATGACTTACCCTCCCGCGGTCAGCTCGTTAATCAAGCAGCTGAGCACGAGTTCGGGGTGAAAGGGCGAACGAGAGAGAGAAAAGAGACACACACAGAGAAAGTCCATTACGCATAAGTATAACGATAGGCTTATCGATATTTAAGCGCTGGATTAATTGTCGGAGAACATGAGCTACATTCTTAGACCATATATCAAGCTAATTTCAATACGTAGCACAAATTGCTTCAATTAAGGCACATTGGTACTATTTTAGCAAAAAAAAAAATATATATATATATACTGGACTGTGTTTAATCCTAAAAAATTACTCTATAAATACGGGGGAATTATAAATAAATCTAAATGTATGCATTATTCGCCCGATTTATGGTCGAAAATATCGTTCGAGATAGTCAATGTTGGATCAAAATTTTTTATAAAATTTTGTATTTAAATTTTCATAATAAATATAATAACGATTGTGAAATACATATATCAAAATTCAATCGTAATATTCGATTACAAAAATAGCATAAAAAATTTTTGAAATATTTTGCACACAAATAAGTATTTATATATCATCCAACATTGATTCACCTCTATACTCTTGCTGTAAATTCTTGCTCTAAACGTTCGTCTCTTATTGCAGTCTAAGCACTACATCCCTCTTGGCTATTATTGTTATCACACAAGATATAGATATAATTAACTTCTTAAACTAGCCTACAAAAATATATGCGCGCGTAAATACACAACGTATGGTTGTCTCAAGTTTATTCAGAACTAAAAATGCACAAAATTATGCAAAACCTTTATTTGCGGTAAATTAAAAAAGTAATACGTAAGTTACGTATTACGTAAGTTAGAATAACGACAAAACGCCTGTATTTACGTGCAAACGAAAACGATCAAAAGTAATAAAGAAAGAAAAATAATGTAATGTCGAAGTTCTTTATTGTTATCTTTCTCCGATGAAGCTAACAGCGCCTACCTTAAACTCGGCATACTCTTCCCTTTGATTAGATTTGTAGGATGCTTCATGTAATCGATGTCCTTCGCCTCAAAAATCTTTGAACTGGCCGAGGTTCGTCTCGAGGTCAAATGATCTTCTCCGGTATCAAGACTTGTATGACGTTCCTAAAAGTTGATGTTAGAAATGAATAATTAATACAGCATATTAACAATAGATCTTTTAACTTTTAAATAAGAATTTAAAGAGACAATCTACAGATAAGAACCATATAAGAAATTTATGGATAGATTTGATTATAATTTATACAGATATATAAGATAAAAGTATTATATTTTTCTATTACTAATAATACCAGAAACTGAAACAATCACTTACCTGCTCGAACAACATCTTGGGTTCATCCTGGCCAATTTTCTCAAGTGCCTTCTCCGATTTCGAGAGAAGTTTTGTTTCCACAAAGACCTTGAGATCGGCCATCTTCATGCGCTTCTTCGTTTTCTCGCTGGCACGTCTGGTATGTCGCGATTCGCTTTCGTGGGCTTCGCGTACAATTCTAAAAATGTGACCAAGTCTACACAGAAGAAGAAAAAGGATCTATTTTGAGATGGCAAAAATCATCACGAATACGTACTCGCTACCAAAGAAGTGTCGCGCGGGTCGGGCACCTCTATTAAGTCCTTCGATACGTCCTTCTTTTTACTCTCGGGGCTCTGATAAATCGAGACTTCGATTTTCGGTATGGGCAAGGAATTGCTCCGGCGACGCGGCATCTGTTGCACTGAGGTTTCTTCATTGATTCTTCGTAGCCTACAATACAAAACCATATATTCATCAAAATAACTGCTAGATTTTTTTAGACGTTTATTTTATAAATATGGAAATTATCTTAATATAGCGACGTCTAAGAAGACCTAAACGTAGACGAATTATTTTAGAGTCCTTATCTATATCTTTACATTTGTCAAAATCTTTTTTATATTAATATTTATATTAAATAAATTGTTGGAACATCAAGCGTTCACAAAGTAACATTGATTCTAATTTGCACGAGATAACTGACCGGTAGTAGAAAAATTGAAGAGCCCAATGAACACCTTCCTCCTGCCATTGAGGTACGAACAGGCATCTCAAAGTGGCCACGTCCAGAAAGGTTGCCGCGCGAACGTCCGAATCGATGATCGTAGAACTGGCGGTGTGCTCGGTTGTAGTTGCTTCAGCCGATTGACGTTGCACCGAGAAACTTCCGCGTGTTTTCGAAGTTTCTTGCGTTTCCTTCTCCGTCTTAGAAATTTTTTCCTCTTTCTCCTTGTCCGTACCTCTAATCAGGAAGATATTTAGGCACGACAGTTTTTTTTTCTTAATCATCTTATCTTACATTTAGTTCGATTAAATGAAAGTTATAGTCGTGAAACTTAACTGACCCGGTTTTCGTAGCTTTTTCATGATACTGTTTGCACGTGTCCAATCCAGAAATTGCCGTGACTTGCTCTATCGTAAACTGTTCTATCGTAGATCTCGAGGAGCTCGTTGTCCTGCCCATCGCGACGTGAAAGATGCTGGCCTCGCCCTGCGGTAGCCACAAAAATATTATTTGCTCTGCGCTCAGCCTCGAGACATTACCTCGTGTAACTCACTGCGAATATGGTGGAAACTTCTTTTACCCCGTCAAGCATTCTCTCTGATTCACTCAAAGATGGTAATCTAAATATTACCTGTGACAATGAAAAATATATCACTTGTCGAATAATTCAAGATTAATGTTTATCATAGTCGTATAAATTTACCACGTGCTCGTCCTCCGCGCCAGAGCTTTCCTCGGGGATCGTTTCCGGGAAAACCGTATCCTTTGGTGACGACAGCCAAGTACCCTGCTGTTGTTATTTTTACAAAAATTACTTTTTATATAATTACAAAATTTTAATAACGCTTATCTTGGATTGTAAACTTACATCTTCTTCAATTACTTTCGAAGGTGGCGGAGCACTTTGATCCGAAGTTGATTGGCTAGGTGGACTTTCAACATCTAAACAATGTTTAATAAAAAAAATTAATAGATGAAAAAAAATATATTAGGTTAAATATGACGGTATCATTAAATATGACAGTACCATTAAATATTAACAGTATCTTATAAATGTAATTTGTAGAGAGAGACATATATTATAAATATATTCAGAAACATACAAATCTGTTTAATTAATTAAAATGGACTCACTTCCTCCAACAAAAACATCATCCGACAACATGTGATGCTTGGCAGATTTAAAAGATTGACTCCAATAAATGCGCGGTTTAGCACGACAATGCGCTGTGAAACATGTTGCCTCTGGATGTCGGCATTCGTACATGGCAGACCATACTTTTAGGCCATTCTCCAATCGTAAATTCGTCTTGAAGTCAATGTCCTTTAAGTGATTGCACAAAGGTGCAAATAGATAAACGAAGAGCTAAAAGCAAGAGACCTGTTATTTCCGCAATCTATGTTCCATCAAACCGCATAGAGAAGCAAGAGACTTCAATAACTTACAGTCATGGTGGGTATCGGAAACAAGTAGAAAAAAGGATTTGACTGATCGGGCTCGTTCTCGGCGCACTCTTCAGCTGAATCCAAGAGTATCCAGTGAAGAATATAAAGAAGAGTCGTTTCCATCGTGCCGAGGGTCTGAAAATCTTTCCTATAAAAGAACGACTTGTTGCGTGAAAAAATTCAAAAAAGTAGTCTGAAGATTACATGCTATTCAAGTATGACTCACCTATTGTGTAAGAGACTGGCCGTAGCATGGAGAACGTAAGGAAGAGCGGCTTGAATCAAACGCCAGCGTGGCACGCTTCTTAATATCTCGCTCAACGAGGGTGTCAGATCATTATGAAGATCTTGCACTAAAACTCTTTCAAGGCACTATGGAAAAAAGAAAAGAGCGCTTTAATAAAAGTTTTAACATTTTTTAAAACTGATTGAGCATTCCCATTGGAGAGTTTCCGGCAAGATCTGAAGGACAAAAGATAACCTTGCAGAGACACTTTCTATTTAGCTTAGGACACAATTAGAAAAGGAAAGCGTCTCTGCAATGTCTTCGCAGTCTACTGTTATGCTTTAAGATCATCAATTGCAAGTTTATTGAAATAGCTACGTCTCTGGTATGTAAGTACCCTTTCTTAAAAAAACATAACTTATAAGGCCCAGTTTCACAAATGTCGGTTAACTTTTAATCATAGGTTAACTAGTCTCTTCGTAGGGACGTTAGAAAGAAACGAAGAGCAAGTTAATCTGGTTAAAGTCAAGGTTAAAAGTTAACCGACATTTGTGGAACTGGGACTAAATAGTTATTATATATTTTTTAATTTTTTATATTTTTTAGAAAATACATATACTAACCGTGCACGCTTCCTTCATTTCCTGTGCAAGCATTTTGGAAATAGACAAACATTTAATCAGAAAATGATAAAATTAATTAACGCTTTAAATAATTAACTTTGTGTGACAGTTTACAAGCAAAACTAGGTGAAACATTATTATTTTTAATGAATAATAAATTATTACGTAATCGTGTGATGTAGATTGTTTGATCTGCAGGTAATATCAGTTGATGCAAATACTGATATTAATACTCGATTATAACAATGTGCGTGTACTAACTTTCAGTACAACAACGTAAATATTACAAATGTATCTAAAAATTATCATCGGGAATCAATCTATGTTAAAATCAAAATAGTGATGTACTTTTTTAAATATTAAACATATAACTAAGTTTGACTACATTATATGTAATGTATTATTATATGTAATGTTCATTTCAGGTTGTGCTGTGGAGAATTAATGCAGTACATCTACATTCTCTCTGTCTGATTACAAAAGGAGAACAAACATATAGCGAGAAATGCAAGGATGATAAAACCACAGGATTCAATGTATCGGATACGAGAGCAGTTTTGTGTGCAAGCTCACAGGCAGATATTAAACGGGCGAGCCAACTTACATGATGGCCTGGCGCGTGTTGACAGAACTGCAGGTGACACGTGGAGGCGGCCGCGTGGAGAGGACAATTTATTAGTGCAAGTAAAGCAGGTATTGCATAACTTAGGACTGACGGGTGGAAACAATTACAGGAGACCCTTGAATAACACGGTACACTTGAATTGCATGAAGTCTCCGAATAGCACGTGAAAAATTGTGGCGACCTTACTTTTTAAAAGTTTTTTAAAAACAATAATCTCTTAGAACCAAACGCTCAATTTTAACGGTTTTCAATAGCACGGAACGTGATCTTCAAAATTGTATGAATCCTAGGTCTTATATAACACGATTTTTAGTAACACGCAAATAATTAATTTTGTTATTCGAGGGTTATCTATAATTGTGCATATTGTATTAAATCACCAATTGCTTTCGTACAAAATCCTTACAGATAAGGACCAATATGCTCTTAAGGTTTAACGCAAATTAAAGATATACAGGATAGCTAGGAAAAGAGATAGAGTATGTCCATTTATATACAAGAAAATATTGTGTTTTTCTTTGATTTAAGAAGAGTAGGAATAAATATCACTTATAATGCATATGATATTATAAGCCATCCCAGGTAGCAAGATGACGTCTAAAGACGTCTTAATGACGTTTTATTGACGTTAGAGACATCATTAAGACGTTATTAATACGTCATTTGACGTCACTCTGCTACCTCTCTGAGATGAGATCTTCCATAGTTTATTGTCTGTAAATAGTTTTGTAAACATATGTATACGTGATGTAAAAGCAAAATATCGTGAATTAATATCGTAATTAATTTCACGTCACTCTTAAAAGAGCAATAAGCGTTATGATGACATAATGATTTAATCTTTACAATATATATATATTGTTATTCAAGATATATTGAAGCCACGAAGTAGAATAGACTCACACTGGTAAACATATGAAGCAGGCTGAACAAAAAGCACACAGCGATTTTGACAAAGACGATTACGGAAAGCGGAAACCGGCAACCGGAAGGAAGGGTATCCTTCCGTATAGTAGGGTATAAAAGCGGTTTTATATTCACAAAAATATCCGCCTGGCTGGATCGATGTCTCAGAATCGATAATACATATTAGAAACAAGGGACTATATTAATATCGAGAAGAAGCGATCGCGGGTATTTCGTTTGATCGATCATTTTGACGAATCTCGTTCGCAGTACGTTTTTACGTTTTATGATTATGGCTCAAGTGTCTTTAATAATAGGGCAATTTCTTTTTCTTATAGTTAAAGAAAGATTTAAAATATTGAATCAATTACCGTGCAAGATGCTTCGTGAAGTTTTCCTAGTTTAGCTCGAATAAATGGCCTGAAAAATAATAAAATAATAAACCACACTTATTTTAAGATAGATATAGGCACGCTGCTGTTTTTTTTTAAATAATAAAAAATTCTCTTTAATCAGCTGACCTTATATGACGCCAAAGGAACATCTGAACCGGAATAGGCAACGGATACTCCTGCGTTCCTCCATCCATAGATCGCCGTTTATCCATGATTGCTTCAAATGTTACTAAAACATTTTGAGATCGCGAATGAGATTGTGCAGCTTAATTAAACAAACATGATAATAATTAGTCGAATCGTTAGTGCTGCCATCGCAACCACGTGTCTCACCTCGCAGAACAGATCCTTCCAATTTTTCAACCGCTAATACGCCTATGTCTTGCACACACCCTCGGTAGACAACAACGCTCCATCAGCCAGAGTGGATCAATCCTCGATTGGAGAAACGTCGGAATTGTACGCTCGCGAGAATCGAGAACCAAGATAAAACCGATCTCGTCTCCCACACAAAATTTACACACTTATCCCTGTCTTACGAGGAAAATTCATTCTTCGCCGTAAAAAGGCGCAATTATCGCGCAATATTGTCGTCGCGCGTTGGACGCAGCCGCCGGAAAACGCCGACGCCGGGCATGACGTCGTCGAAGGGTAGCACCGCACCGAGAAAAGAGAATGTCACGTGCCACTCGGCCTAGTAACACACTTCCGTCATTCCCTGTGGATATCCTGCGCGACGCGGGTATGCACTCCGGCGCCGGAATAGCGTGTAACTGAAGGGACCTCGCGGTCTACGCGTCCACACGTCCTCGCGGGAAGGATGGTGAATGCGCGTGCGACTCTCGGAAAATCCAATGCGCCGGTCGTTCCATCGATCAGCCCAGGAATCTGCTGCTGGACCACCCCGTACGGGAGGCGCGAGCCACCCCTTTGCAGCGCGCCACGTTGTGCTGCGTCGCGCCACGTTCCTATCAACCTATTTACCCACCTAGCCCATCTAGCCGTTTACTCGAGCAACGCCCGATATAACGATGGGCGAGGCCATCTTCCTGTGGAGCAATGACTGGCGAAGAACGCGTTATTTGCCCTCCGTTTCAGGGTGTGTACCGTTAGATTGTGATAGATTGCTCCGGGGGATACCAAACCGATAATTTGCTTTTCACGTTAAGACAATGCAGCTTTTGCACCATTAAAGTTGGATTAAAGCTAAGCTGGAATATACGTTGGATTAAAGCTGAGATGAAATATACGATAATATAAAAAAAAATGAAGAGGATGTAAAAGATAAAAGACATTTAAATGAGATCGACTGATTTATTTTCAGATATACATATTGGAACTTAACTAACGAGTCTACTTTGAAATCCTCTCCCACCGCCCGCTGTTGCTCCAATTCGTAACATCTACAGCATTCTTATGTGTGTCAAGACGCTCTTCGGCGAATCTTTTGTTGGAAAAATTCTCGACGTTCTTTAACGTCATATCCAACTCGAACACGATTTCCCGCGCACTCGTCATTACTTCACCTGTTTTCGGAGTCTCTTCAGGATTCACCGGACTGATTTCTATACATATTTCTGTATTGTCATCTGTATCGCCACTTATTCTTCTCGCTTCTTCACTGATGATTCTACAAACGTCGCGCCATAATTCTTTTTCGTTGGGATGAAGAACTTCGACAAACTCCCGAAAATTTTCCCAGTCCATGTCTCTACTGTTCTCGAGAATTTTACGATAAATTGACAACATTTCTGCCACCGTATATTCATTGTTTTTTCCAACGATGTTTTTTAGCAACGCATCCTTGTAAATAATTTGTCGTATGATTTTATTTCTAGGATTATCTGCAGAAACGGAAGTCGTAGTCTCGTGATAAATCTTGACGGAATTCTTGGATCTATTCAGATTCTGGTTACGTAAATTTACAAAATTACCTTGCCTTTTAACCGAACGATCTTTACCTTCTGATAAGTCAGACAATTTAGTTGGAACACAATCATTCGCGCAAATATTTCTTATCTCATTGTCTGTCCTATTGGAATGAGCAAATGCGGCGTCCGCGGATTTAGAATGCGGTAACTTTTTGCCATTTAGCATGTTGTTTATTAAATATTTTTTGTAAAAACATGTCGAATTCTTATCCGATACAATTGTTTTGATTAAATGACAAATTTTTCTTCGTGTTTCTGGCGATAATCGAACTAAAATATTTGATTCATGTGTATATAGCTCGCCTATTGATTCTTTTGCATTACCGGAATGTCTGTCTTTCGCAATTTGAGCTCTGACATGTCGAGCGATATCTAGAGAGGGTCTTGATGAAACTAATTGGCGACCTCGAGGAACGTCTTCGTCGTCTATATTATTTATCTCATATTTCCTATTTAGAGATCCGTACATTAAATTCTCAACGGATGACGAGCTAAAGATAGTAGCTTCACTTTCTCTTCTTTGCTCCTGGAGAGCACAATCTTCAAGCGAATCCTTCTCCATGTGATTAGACCAGTTATCCGTTTTCGTCTTTTCTACCGCGTGAGAATATCGCGAAACATTTGCAGGGAAGCTAACGTTCTCTCTGCTATTGTCTATTCTCGGCATTGGTAGGTAACGGTAATCGTCCAAAGCTATTCGGGGCAAATGTCCCGATTCGTCGAACAACCAAAATCCCGCGTCGCGTTGCGAATAATCCTCTCGACTGCCATACAAGACGGAACTCCGTCCGTCTCTCGCGTCGTCCGGGCGAGTACAGCGTTTTTCTTGCAATTTCGAAAGAAGTTCGTTCTCTTTCTCGTCTAACCCCGTAAATTGACCACGTGCCAAATATTTCACCGTGTCGACAACCGGATAAATATCGCCGCGTTTGTCGAGCGGTTGTTGCGAACCTTGGATATTGGAACGTCGATCTCTTGCCAACGAATCATCGATTTGCGACTTAGGTTCATATAAAATCTCCCTCACGACTTCTTCCCTGTCGATACTGGCGTAGGCTTCTATCGCATTTGAAGATTCACACTTACCAGGATTATTTCGTTCAGCACTATTGCATTTGTATCTTTTTTTATTCTTTCTCTCTATTTCCAAATCCGTAATATATAATCTTTTAATAGCATTATTATCGGGATAAAATTTATTTTTAATTGTGGGATTAATACTGGCTTTCGTAACAGATATATTATTAGCTTCATTTGATCTTTCAACACATTTCTTAATTACGAAAGAATGTTCTTTAGTTGGCAATAACTCAATTTCGCTCAATTTGTCTGTATATTCAGTTTGATTGTTCACTTTAGAGTCATTGATTCTTGATTGCACATTATTTATTAAATTTGGAGAACTTATTGAAATTTCTGATTTCTCATTATTCTGATTATTATTAATACAATCGCGTTCGGCAGCTGTAGCTTCATCATTGAGTCTGGTTTTTGTCCTATTTCTTTTAAGTTTCTTGATAGTAGGGTGCGATTCTAGTATGCAACTGATTACCCCGCAATGTTCACATCTATGCAAAGAGGAATCGTTTGAAAGGAGATCCTCTAATTTCTTATGACGCTGAGCTAACAAACATTGTAACGCTCGCAAAAACTCGTTACAGCAATTATTAGTCAGCAAGGAAACTCGAGAATCAGAGTCTGTAATAAAGTCGAGGATTTTATAAATCGCTCCTAGTTCGATGAAAGGTGCAACTGATGCATTATTCGTGTCGTTACATATTTGAGAATGTATATCTTCCTTATTTACTTTATCCTTCGTTCGATCGTGTGATTCTTTCTTATTTCCGTGTAATGTAGAAATCGGCTTATCCGACTTGAAAGAACGCGGTGAATAATCGTGACAGGTAAGCGGTGAAGATGTAATTTCCGATCTTTCAGCGTTTCTGTATGTATCCTTTTTGTTTTCATTTTCATCGAACGAAAGACAGAAATCTAGTTTACTTTCTCGCTCACTTATGGTACTTAAAGTTCTCGTCGAAGGTACTATTGTACTATTCGAAAATGTGGCTTGGGATGTGATCGATGGAACTATCATTACTTTCCATAAATCATTGTAATCCATTATCAACGATATGCAGCAGTCGCAGAAAGAACTTTTCGATGACGCATTTTCTTCTATATTGATTTTTCTAGCGGAAGATGAGCATTATTATTTACATGTTCAAGATTACGTTTTTGATAAATAACTATTAAATGCATTATTATGTGAAGTTTGACAAGTAGTTTTGTTACCAATTATGCTGTATATTTATTCATCGAAATGGATCATGGAAAATGATGC